TAGCCCAAAGTCTTGGGAAAAGAGGTGGAAATATCAAGAGAAAATGTGCAAGATTTTTAGCACAAAACAGTTAAATGCTTGAAAAATTGGCAATTAAAAGACAAACGTCAAATAAATGTACAAGAAATTAACATATATGTTCATTAATGATGAACAAGGTTACAAAGGGAAAGTCAAATGCGAAATTGCAAAAAGAAAAGTTAAGGCGTCATATGTCTTAATTACAATCCACCCCATACTGAACGAATTCGTTCCCTAAGTTTCTCCCAATCCTCGTTCTGCCAAGAGGAAGTGATGTTCAATTCGGCCACGACATCATCATCAACTTCCAACTTCTTGTATTTCTCGACCAAAGACTTAGTTCGTTCAATTCCCTGGGAGGTGTTACGCTTTTTAGCAGCCATTCTCGCCTTGCAGTCGTCCATTTTGGCTTAAAGTTCCTTCATCTGAGCAGCCAAACTAACCATCAAAGAGTCTTCAATCAGGACTTCGGAAGAGATTTCTTTCAACTCGTCCTCATCCTTATTGATCTCCAGACGCAAAGACCCTTTTTCAAATACGGCGCAAAGATATTGAGTACTTTTGGCCTTCAGTTCAGTATTCTTGGCCAGCAAGGAGAGGACCTCGGAATGGATAACTTTCAACGTCGCTTTAAAATCGGCAGAAAGATTGAGCGACGGAAGTGTCAGTGCTTGATCCAACTTCGCATTCAAATGCTCAAGCTTATCCTTGTGTCTAGCAGCACCTTACCAATGTCCATATTCATGAAGGACATGTACTCAAATATCGACTGCTTGAGAAACTTCAAATCTTCCTCTGAAGAAGTAGCAGGACGACCAAATGGAGCAGAGCGAGATGTCTTGACTTGCCCCCAGGAAGCGAACAAGTCTTGGATGGAACGCACAATCTTGTCAGCATCCTGCAAAGAAAATTGCCAATATTGAAGATTCTCACTACAACGAACAAGATGGAAATAAAAGTGAAGCAAAGATTACCTCATCAATAATTGCGGAAGATGGCATATCCTCAGCCAAGTCTACCACCTGTGACTCCACCATTCGTGAGGACTTCCCCTTGTCTTAGCGAGAAGATGTTGCCACAATGGGCAAACTCATAGGAGCATCTGCAGAACTCAAAAGCAACGAATCAGAAACCAATAGCACAAGCAAAGGTAAAGCATCAAAAAACTAAATTACCTTCTGCTGCGATGTTTGGGGGGTCGACGCCCTGGGAAGAAGGTGGCTCATCCATTGGTTGTGATGAGGATTCTGGGATTGAAGATATCTCTTTAAGGGTAGTCCCTTCATCATCTGGTTTGGATGAAGCAGCCTCTGTGGAGGATGATGGAGTAGGAGCTGCCGTTACCAAAGCCTTTAAAGGAGAGGCTGAACTTTTCTGAGAAGTCCAAATAAATCATCAGCACACAGAAAAGTTTCAAGTATGGAAAAGTATGCTTGTGAGTAAACCAATTTAATTATTTTCCTCCTGATGATAAGAGGGGTATCATCATCATCATCAACATCATCCTCCAGAATGGGAGATGCTGAGGCTGACCGTTTACGGCTTGGGGCACTTTTGGCTGCAGTAGGCTTGGCAGGGAGAGAAGAAGATGGACGAGCAGACTGTTTAGCGCGACGAGGAGGAAAAGGACTCCGGATGGACAAAGGAGTGACTAAAACAGGAGGAGGGGAAGAAATGCTCGGCTGGTCCAGTGAATAAAAGGCACGATTGGCATTAGTCGCAAACAATCTGCACTTCACTGACGGCCAGAGCTGTTCAAAAAGGGGAAGGATGATATGGCTAAAATTGAAAGGGGCTAATGAAAAATAGCTTGTTAAAAGAAGATTGCGAGCATTTATAACCTCTGCCTCCGCCTTATTAATAATATGAAAGCGGTCAATCAAGTTCCTTGAATAGCAAGGAGGAACAAGCCAAGTTTGGCCGAAACCAAGTTGGCGAGCAAAAAATTGGGGAGTATATATTTCTACCCCTACCTTGGCATTGGTCCCAGTTAAAATATCATGAAATAACTCCCTTCCGATTAAAAATTGGATCCAAATGAGCAGAGAGGTGCTCGCGCTGTCTATAGTGGAGGACGGATGCACATAGTTTGGAGTCAAAAAGGGAGGAAAAGGAAAGAAGGAAGGGATTGAATCCAAAGAATAAAAGAATGAAAAAATGTCCCTTCTAGACATATTTACAGGAGCCAAGGGCTCAATGGCTAGCTATAGCAACTAGCAGAAGAACGAGAAATTGATGGAGCACCAAGCAATGGAAAATAGGATCTCAACCACATTTGAGTGAACCAAAGAGGTCCACTACCAGTGGGAGATGCACTATTCTTCAATTGAGTTTGAAGAGAAGCCATGCCTCTATAAAGGACAGCCAAAAAGAAAGAACATAAATTCAAAGGCCTGCCACGCGCCAATTCGTGCGCTATGGGTAAATAACTCAGGAAGGGCTTTTTACTTGGCACACACAAAACATATTTACAAAGTCAAACCAGAAGAAAGGCCACTCGCTCAGTATGGGAAGGCTCAGCGCTCGAATGGTTATGAAGGGTTTGCAGGCTTGAATAAGACTCAGTAAGGTTTCTACCAAACTTTGGGGTGCCACCAGAAACCAAGATACCAGGAAAAATGGTATCGCCTAAAGGTGGCAGATTCACTAGGGCCCCAACATCCCTTAAAGTAATAGACATGGGGCCAAAAGGAAAAATAAAGGTATTATACTCAGAAGACCAAAAACTCAAAGCGATCGAAAAAAGTGCTGAATCAAAAGTAGGGGGTTAAAGAGAGATTTCTAACAAATTAAAAATCCTAGCATTATCAAAAAGTGCCTTAGTAGGACCATGGTCTACAAGGCGAGCATGCCACCTATGAAAAACTACATCAGATTTAGGCCAAGTGCGAATACCTCTTTCGCGAAGTGGCCCCAGCGGCAGAGAGTTTAGAAATGGAGGGCCTTGAGTACAAGGAAACAGCTGGCCCACCGTCGCCTGTTCGATTGCCTCTGTATTGTTGAAGAAAGGACCTAGGTAGAACTCATTGAGTTCGACATTGACAGGCGCGAGAAAGTTCGAAGTTATGTATGGACGACTCAAAACTTTCTGAAAGTCATCAAAACTAAAGGAGTCACCAGATTGAGATTTTGAAGTAGCCATTAGGGATGAAACAGAGTTTTTTTAGAGTTATGTAGCAGGGAAGCAAAAAGATGAACAGTAAATCGTGGGAGAGAAAAGCGAAAAAGTGAGGCATGATTTAATGGTGCAGTGAAATGGTGTGTTTGAGGGTTATAAGAGTTTGCAAAACGTCGCACCTTTTCAAGCTATGGAAGAAAACAATGATTGAAATTCTTGAAAATTTCGAATGTTGCTGGAAACACAAAGTGAATATGGCAAAATTTAATAATTGGTATTAATTCTGCCATATTGGGGGGTAATTGTTGACACATAAAAATTCAGCCCAAATCGAACGGCCCAAGGAATGAAGCCCAATTGGAAGATCCCCAAATCAGATAGCCCAAATAACGAAGCCCAATCAAACAATTCAAGATGAAGACCCAAATAGGGAGGCCCAAGAACGCGGTAACACCATCGCCCAAGTTTGCAAGTCGCCCAGAATCTGAGCGAATGGAGTGCCATGCAGTCGCCCAGAGCTGTTACTCTATTCTCGCCCAAACCTTCGAGTCGTCGAAGGTCTTAGCAAATATGAAGTGTTGTGGTTATCAAGAAGTGCAGTTATCAAAGCAGTTATTAAAGCAGCCCTATCACGTTCCACGATTCAAGGAACTTAATTGAAGATGGTTGAACGACAAAGAGTAATGGCGACAGTTAGAAAAGGTAGTTCCATGACAAGTTGGCCATTACGAGAAAAGTGGGCAGTTATAGAACGATCCAGCAGTTTTAGGACGGTTAATCACAAAGAGATCATCCAGGGAGTATAAAAGGAAGGAAGGATATAGAGCAAAAGACCAAATCAAAAAACTCTCGAACAGAGTACATGTAATTTTAAATTTCTTAGCTTAGATTTAAACACTTCTTTTAGTAACTCGTGTGCTTGCGCCCCTTGGAGGCATTCTGTTTTTAATTTCCAATTGTAAAGTCATCGCCAATAAAGAACACACCTTTTTGGGACTTTGTCTCAAGAGGTTTGTCTCTTACACAATCGTCTAATCTCTTTTAATTGTTAGCGATGAACCCGTGCGAAACAATAATAAATATTTTCTAAAAAAAATTATGTTAAAAGACTATCATATCTCAATGGGGCCAATGACCCTACTGGACCAACCTTCCACAGATATATCGCCACACGATCCATTTTCTATGAAATGAAGGAAGGGCAACAAGCATAAGCATTATCGAAGGATATGTCTTTGCTCTTCCTATACTAGAGAGGGTAGCAAATGAGCTCGAGCTTCATATTCTTTAAAACATGATGTAGTGCAAGCAAAAGGGTCACGGAAAATTTCGATCATTATTCCTATGAGTTCACGACGCAAGAAATGGAGAATACAATCATTGAATCTAAAAGACGTGTCTAGTATGTGAAGGCATGAATGAGAAGAACAAATAAAATATAACAAACCAGTAGATCATTACCTGCACCATTTGCCAGGACTAGTTAAAGAAAGAGTTGATATTGTCAACTCAACAGATCATTAGGAGTTGTTCAACGAAGCTTTTGATAAATCAAGGCCAAAATCATGGCAGGGCCAAATTTCTGGCTTTAGGACCACAGTTCGTAAAGGGTATAAAAGCAAGCCAATCTCACATTGGATACTTTTAGCTCTAGCTCTAGTTAGTGCAATGCAGTGCTGCAATTCTTCGTTCCCTGCTTCTTCTATGTTGTCCCGCATTTATTTTTCTGAGCAAAAGGATAATTCCTTGGTTGGCCTATTACATCATTGGTTTTCATTCCAACTTACGCTGTCTGGTTTAAATTCGCTGCATCTTTTGCTGTCTTGGGTATTTTGAGTTCTGTTGATTACCTCATGGATATATGGATGTAATTGACATCATTGTCATTTTTGCTATCATATTTTGTAGCAATTATATGTATTATAATCAGTTGTAATGTTTATTTTTGGTGATTAAAATGACTCTCACAGCATGGTTTATTCTGTCAACAGGTAAGGTTGTAGTTGGTAGGAAGTTATTGACTAGAAGCAAGGTAGTAAGCTTTTGTATTATATATATAATGTTAGCAGGTCATGGGGCTTAATGTATTGTAATGTCCCAAAATTTCATAGATTAGAATTTAATTTAGGTGTGCTATATTTTAATATCTTGGAAGTTTAGGGACTAAAATATATATAAAGTAAATTTCAATATTATTGGATGTTAAAATGTAGATGTTGATGGAGTGACAATAAGTATATCAATATTGTACTCATTGGATAGATTGTAATAAATCATGTATATTAGCTCGAGAAAAAGTTAATTTGAATTAGTGGAGCCTAAATCATCGAGATCAAAAGATATAGCTTTACAATTATATTTTAATCGATTATTTAATGAATTTAATTTCTCTCAAGTTACATGTGAAACGAAGGAAGAATCTTTGTTAGGTTAGGATTGAATATTTTAATAATAAAAATATATATATAAGAAGAGAGAGAGAGAGAGAGAGAGAGAGAGAGAGAGATACTTACTTTATTGATTTTAGTTTCAATTTGTTGGCCACGAGTATGGTAATAAATTGATTGTTGAAAGGTATGGTTAGTTGATAAGATTTGGTCTAATATTTTGATTACACATACGGTTTCCTCAACTTTATCCCATTTACCCACTATCTTCACACGTTTCCACCATCCTATAATTCTACTTGCACCAAAACTCATCACACACACACATATATACATACTCACGTGCATTAAAAATTTAAAAAGGGTATTTATTTCCAGCATAAATAAAGCACAGAAAGAGTTCCATAAAATTTACCACAAACATCCATACATAAGCAGTCGGCAGAAGACAGTCTCAATTTTTTTTTAAAAGGCTGCCAAGAAAATTAGAAGATTCGAAACGAAATTTTTGGATTTCATCTTTCAAGAATTTATTCAACCTTAGAAGGTAGGATATTGAGTTGCAGTCTATTTTTTTTAAATCTCCATTTAAATATTTTTTTTCATGCTGATGAATTTTATACTCATGAAAGTTAAAGTTATGGTATAATATGCTATGATGTGAATGATATGGTCATTTCGGTATAACAATATAATATGATATGATATGAGCTCTTACCGAATTTTAAAGATATGAGACGGTATGATTTTCTGATGCATGTTTTAAAATTTTTATACAGGATCACACCATTAATTTTATATCCTACTGAGTATTTTCATGTGCTCACCCTTTTCCCTACTCCTCACAGATTAGAACGGGTCATTGGTTGGCGGACGATGTGGTGGAGTTGTGATGCAAGAAATTATGGAATTCAAGATAAATAAATTCTAAGTAACATGATTAGGAAGTTTTATTTATTTATTTTTCTTTACTTTATTTCAGTTTTATCTTCATGTTAAAATTGAAATTTAATATTTGGAACATGGTTCAGTTAATTATGTTTTCCATAGACTTTATTTATTTTATAAATGGAACTAGAAAGATTTTCATGTAGAATGTTTGACAGAATTTATTTAATTATGAAATAAATGTTTTAGTAACGATTTTAAATCTTTAAATTTTGGATCGTTACATGTACTGATATTTGTTCCCAGAAAATTCTTTCTCTTCCTCTTTGCTTTACAAAACCATCAGTGGTATCAGAGCAAAAGGATCTTAGCGTAAAAGGAAAGGTTGTGAGACAGAAAAAGAGAGAAAACAAGTGAGGAACTTCTACCAAAACCTTCTCCATATCAATTGGAAAAATCAGACATGAAAGGGATAGCTTCAAGTGGTTTTTCAGCTCCATTACCTTCTGTGTTTACAGGTGAAATTTATGATTTTTGGGCAAAAATTAAGGCTTACCTGAAAGCATACGACCTGTGGGAAATAACAGAGACATGAAGTGATCCACCACCTCTTAGAGCAAGTCCTACTATTGCTCAATTGAAGCAACATAGTGAGGAGGTTGCAAAAAAGTTTAAGGCTTTGTCTTGCATCCTATTTGTCGTGTCTGATGCAATATTCACTAGGATTATGACTTGTGAAACAGCAAAGGATGACTGGGATAGATTGCAAGAAGAGTTTAGAGGCAATTCAAGAACAAGGCAAATGCAAGTTTTAAATTTAAGAAAGGAGTATGAAACCTTGAAGATGAAAGACTCGGAATCTGTCAAAGAATATTCTGATAGGCTAATGAAAGTTGTGAATCAAATAAGGCTGTTGGGAGATGACTTACCTGACAGGAGAGTTGTGGAGAAGGTGCTTATCAGTTTGCTAGAAAAATTTGAGGCAAAAATATCTTCTCTTGAAGACTCTAGAGATCTGTCTTCTATAATCTTGTTTGAGTTGGTTAATGCCTTGCAAGCTATTGAGCAAAGGAGGCTAATGAGACAGGAAGAACAAGTAGAAAGGGCCTTGTTTGTTAAAGGAAAATATAAAACTCAAACAAGTTTTGGTGTAAGAAAGCACCGAGATGAAAAGAAGAAGGTGGAAAACAATAAGACTGCTGGAAAAAGTGGAGTTTATATTCCATGTGTTCGTTGCAAAAAATCAGGACACTCTCCAAGATGGTGTTGGTATCGACCTAATGTTCAATGTCGAAATTGTAAGCAATTTGGACATGTTCAAAAAGTGTGTAAAAATTTGAAGGAGAAGCAAACAAAGCCTCAAGCACATATGGCTGAAAATCAGCAACAACATCAGGAAGAGCATCTATTTTCAGCTATCAATTTAAGGCCTGCAGTAGTGTTGAAACTTGGTTACTGGATAGTAGATGCGCTCATCACATGACTTCAAATTCCAGTATCTTTGTTGAACTAAATGATGCATACAGATCAAGTGTTAAAGTTGGTAATAGAGAGCATGTGGAAGTGAAAGGAGTTGGGATGATTGTTGTTCAAAATCCATCAGGTACCAAATACATAACTGATGTTCTTTATGTTCCTGATATTGATCAAAACTTGATTAGTGTGGGCCAATTGATTGAGAAATGTTACACTTTGATATTCAAAGACAAATGTTGTACTATATGGGACACACATAATCAAGAATTGATGACCGTTGATATGAAACACAGAAGTTTTCCTTTTCAATGGAAAAATGTAACCAATCAGGCACTGGTTAGTTTAGTGATTGATTCTCGCTTTGGCATAAACGGTTTGGTTCACTTCACTCAAGCAATTAAACAAGTTGGAGCTAGTTGAAAACATGTCAGATATATGTGATAATGGCTATGTTTGTAATATATGTTAACTTGGAAAACAAACCAGACTTCCATTTCCAAAAAACTAGTCAAGAAGATCCACAAAAAAGCTGGAATTAATCCACTCTGACGTGTGTGGTCTAATGAGAACTCCAACGCTCAATGGCAACAAATATTTTGTGCTTTTTATAGATGATTTGACAAGAATGTATTGAGTGTATTTTTTGAAAATAAAATCAGAGGTTGCAGATGTGTTCCAGAAATTTAAGAACCTTGTGGAAAATGAAAGTGACTGTAAAATCAAGGCTATCAGATCAGACAATGGTACCGAATATTGCTGTAACCAATTTCACAGATTTTGTGATGATATGGAAATTAAACACCAGTTGACTGTACCTTATTCTCCTCAGCAAAATGGTGTTTGTGAAAGGAAAAACAGGACAGTAATGGAGATGGCTAGGTGTTTGATGCTTGAGAAGAATGTACCAAAGGAATTTTGGGCTGAAGCTGTAAACACAGCTGTGTATCTACTCAATAGATTACCTACAAAAGCCTTGGATAAAAAGACACCCTTTGAAGCATGGTATGGAGTAAAACTTGATGTTGCTCATTTGAAAGTATTTGGCAGCATATGTTTCACTCATATTCCAAATGTAGAGAGGCATAAGCTGAGTCAAAAGGCAGAGATTGGTATTTTGGTTGGACATTGTGGCAATGCAAAGGGGTTTAGAGTATACAATCCACAAACCAAGAAAATCATATCCAGCAGGGATATTAAAGTGGATGAATAATCTTCATGGAATTGGGAAGCAAGTACCATGGATAAAATTCAAATTCCAAGGTTGGTAACTCAAGAAAATGAAGACACCATCAATGAGGACGAACCTGAACATGATAGTGATTCTGACTCAAAAAATGAAGTGCTAAGAACCAGGCCTCTTGCTGATGTATATGCCAGATGTAATTCAGCCGTGATGGAACCTTCACACTTCCATGAAGCTATAAATTCAAAAGGGTGGATGAATGCAATGAAGGAGGAGCTGAATATGATTGAAAAGAATGAGACTTGGGTGCTTGTTGATAGACCAAAGGATAAGAATGTGATAGGAGTTAAATGAGTGTTCAAAACTAAATTAAATCCTGATGGTTCGATTAACAAGCTGAAAGCCATATTAGTTGTAAAGGGTTATGCTCAGCAATATGGTGTTGATTACACGGACATATTTGCTCTGGTGGCAAGGCAAACCATCAGATTGTTGCTGGCCATTGCTGCTCAAAGAATCTGGAAAATCCATCAATTAGATGTTAAGTCAGCTTTCTTAAATGGATGGTTAAATGAGGAAATTTATGTTGATCAACGAGATGGTTTTCAAGTGGTTGGAGAAGAAGACAATGTGTATCTATTGAAGAAAGCCTTGTATGGTTTGAAGCAAGCTCCAAGAGCTTGGTACAACCTGATTGATGAACATTTGAGCTGCCTGGGGTTTGTAAGAAATGTTAATGAGCAAACCTTGTACATAAAGAAGTTGGAGGAGGAGTCAATCATCATTTCCCTGTATGTAGATGACCTTCTAATAACCGGTAGTAGCAGGGTCTTAATTGATAAAGCAAAGGCTGAAATGATGAAGGCATTTGAAATGACATATTTAGGGGAGATGAAATATTTTCTGGGAATGGAAATAAAGCAGTCACAAGATGGTATTTTTATCTGTCAAAGGAAGTATGCCAAGGAAGTTTTGAAGATATTTAGCATGGAAAATTGCAAACCAGTAAGTACTCCTCTAGTTCAAAACTTAAAGCTGGTAAAGGATGATGGAAACAAGAAGACCGATGAAAAGGTTTATAGAAGTTTGGTTGGACGCCTAATGTATTTGACAATCACAAGACCAGACATCACTTTTGCTATAAATTTGCTTTCCAGATTTAGGCAAGAACCAAGTGAGTTACATTTTCAAGCTGCAAAGAGGGTCCTGAGATACATCAAAGGGAATGCTAAAATGGGAATCTGGTTTAGAAAGTCAGAAATCATGGATTTAGTTGGTTATACTGACAGTGATTGGGTCGAATCTTTAGATGATATGAAGAGCACCTCTGGATATGCTTTTTATCTGGGATCAAATCTAGTTTACTGGAACACAATGAAGCAAAAAATGGTAGCTCAATCAATAGCAGAAGCAGAGTATATAGTTGTATCAGGGGCCACTAATCAAGCTATTTGGTTGAGGAAAATGCTGGAGGATTTGGATGCTAAACAAACTGATGCAACTGTCATTTTTTGTGATAATCAATCAGCTGTAGCCATGGTAAAAAAATCCGGTGTTCCATGGAAGAACAAAACACATTAAGATCAGGTATTATGCAATCAGGGAAGCACAAGAAAATCATGAAGTGAAGCTGGTGCACTGCAAAGCTGAAGACCAATATGCTGACATACTTACCAAGTCCTTGTCCGAAGGAAGGTTTGAAACATTAAGGAAAAGCCATGGTGTTTCCAGCAAAAATGTCAAGGAGGAGTATTAACATCTATTGTCATTTTTGCTATCATATTTTGTAGCAATTATATGTATTATAATTAGTTGTAATGTTTATTTGTGGTGATTAAAACGACTATCACAACATGATTTATTTTGTCAACAGGTAAGGTTGTAGTTGATAGGAAGTTGTTGACTAGAATCAAGGTAGTAAGCTTTTGTAATATATATATAATGGCAGCAGGTCATGGGGCTTAATATACTGATATTTGTTCCCAGAAAATTCTGTCTTTTTCTTCCTCTTTGCTTTACAAAACCATCAGAAGTGCATATGCCCATCTGCCTCTCATTTGGATATTTTTTGCTCTATTTGGATAACTTGAAGAAGAACAAAATCTACGGTTTGACTATTAATGCCATTGTCATCACTCATCATTAATATTAATGCCATTGTCATATGGCTATCGTTGTACTGGATTCAGATTTGAATTCAAATGGATACAAAAGTGCCCGCCTAGGGCCAGCCTTGAGAAATATGAGACCCTAGACAACAAATTGTTTTGAAACTTTTAAATATAAATAAAATGAAGACTTTTAAAATAAATAACGTATTTTTAGCTTTCATAAAAATTAATTTATAAATTTTAAAGGAACTTTATAAGCTTAGCGAAAAATTTTATGGAAGATTTCCTTAATTTTTTTTGGATTTATTTTTTCTTGTTTCTAGATTTTGGTAGGCATGACGACAACAACAACAACAACAAAAATGATAGAACTAAGTAATAGTTTAAGTGAAAATTACATAATCCCAGGTCCTTAAAGAGTACAATTCAAAAATCAGGTATCAAGTTTGATTATTCACAAATCAATTGGGGTTTCTTGGAGGGGCCACTAATGGTAGATATGTGTGTGAATTGCAAAATATAATTTGAACAACTTAACTATACTAAATCAAAATAACTACTTACTTGGAATTGCAAAGGAAAAATGCAGAAATGAAAAATAGTGAATGAGATTGTTAACCGAGGCTAGTGTTTAACATTGTGTTTTTAAGACGAATTTGCCTTATCAAGGTGCTCATGGATACTTTGCAATCATCTTCCAAGATATAACGGTTCCCTCCTTGCAATATAAGGATTTCAAACTCCAAGGAATCAACAAACTCAAAAATGTAAAGAACTCTCTACTTTTGAAAGATTTTAATGCAAGAAAACAACGGTTTTAGAGTGTTTTTGATGCAATGTAATCAAAGCATATGAATTGGAATGATTTTAAACTAACAAGGATGTCCAATTTATAGAGGTTAAGTAGTTGTGATCCGAGAGACATGCCCAAAATTCATTATATTTTACAAAAAGACATAGCTCTTCAAGCCGCTCACTAACCGTCCGAAATGCGGATCAAGCGCTAAAAGTAGTGAATCTGCCACTAGTTGTGTGCTAGGCTACTATTCGAGCAGCGCCTAACTTTGGAAATTTATCCGAAATTGATTTTGAGATTTCAAATATACTAAGATCATCTACTCGACGAGTAGAATAACTTATTATACATTTACGTGATTTGACTGTCGAAATCTGTCAGAATACTTGACCAAAGTTAATACAAAGTCAACTTTTATTAACCAAATTCCAACGACCACAATGCTCTTCCTTGCATCCACCATCTTAGCCGGTGTACTTAATAAGGATACCTCCTACGAGCATTGCAGCTATAATATATTGTTGAATGATCCAATAAGCGGTTTCAAGATTTTTCCTCTAATTATCACATTCTGGGATTTGCTTCACAGCCAAATCAACATGACCAGATCTTATGTACACCGTAATTATTTCAGTCAACATGAAGAGATCTTTCACAGGCATATCTTGATATCTAAGCATAAACTAAAGATGTATACTAAGATGTGGAGACAAAAATAAAAATAAAAATTTCCTCGGTCAGTTCTTTACCTCTAGACAAAGAGATCCTACTTTTTCTCTCTCTTAAAAAGATTATTTGAAATACTTTTCTGGAAAGGATCAAATGCAATATCAAAAAAAAAAAAAAAAAAAAAAAAAAAAAAGAAGGTTGAACCCCAATCTTGAGGGCCCTTACCGCCCCGTTCCTAAAGCTTTGCG